CTTTATTGACTTATAATTAACATGTCCTAGTCTAGCATGCCATATATCAGGAGACTCAAGCACATAAGCAGAAACAACTTTATTCATAACATCATTGGGTGCAACAGTCATTACATTTAACTTGAACAGACTATCACTACGATAACCCTTTCCTACATACATCTCATTTTTGGAGAGTACAAACTTATCAGATACAAACACCAACTTGAAACCATTCTTGCTAAGGAGAGATCCGGACACTAAATTCTTGTGTATGTCTGGCACATGTAGCACATTGTTTAGTGTCACAATTTTCCTAGATGTCATCTTCAGAGCAACCTTTCCAATACCTTCAATCTTAGAGGTCGATGAATTACCCATGTAGAGTTTTTCATCACCTTCCACAGGCATGTAAGATGAGAACATTGATTTATTGGCACATATATGACAAGTTGCTCCAGTATCAATCCACCATTCTTTAGGGTTTCCCATCATGTTGCATTCAGATATCATAGTAGTAAGATTGATATCATCAACACCACCATGTCCAAACTTTCCCACAACTCCTTAGCCGTTTTCAGCGGACTATAAACGTTGTAGAGGGAATTGTCCAGACCATTGAGAATGTAGTTGCGACACAAGAAGTCAGAATGCTTCCATGCATCTACAGCAGCAAACTTTTCCTTGTTTGTTTCTCTTTCATCCAACTTAGGAGCATCCTCAATGAGGAATCTTGCCAAATTCAAAGTGGTGAGGTAGAACAATATCTTTTGTTGCCATCTCTTGAAATCAGCCCCATTGAACTTTTCTGGCTTCTCTCCATGAGTCGGAACAGACACAATAGGCGTCATCGATGTTGTAGCCATTTCTATTACGAAGACAAAAATTATTGAAAAGGAAACTATACAAACAAACAAATTGTCTTAAGATTGTTGATTCCGAAGTGTTCGTATGTGCAAAACAAAGTTGTTCGACAAACCTGAAAGTGCAGATGAGTAATCCGAACGTTGACGAATTCACATTGTGTCCTTAAGACAATCTGTCCCCTCCACCGGTATCCAAGGTTCTTGAACAATTGCCTCCCAGGATAGAACGGATCGCCTTTCCTATGAAGCGGTACTGCTTCAAAGGAAACCTTTGAATGCAACTTTGCAGATTAATCTCACGAATGACAATGATGAAGAAAAAGAGAGCAGTAGAAAAATGCCCCGCCAAAACACAAATGTTTTTTGTTTTATTTAAAAACAATGAAGAGTCATGAAGAACCGAAAAGTTTTGTTCGGTTCACAAATAGACATATCTGTCCGAAAATAAATGGGCGAACAATCACGAACAAACATATCTGTCCAAAAAATAAAATAAAATAAAATAAAATTCCAAACCAAAAAACATGTCTGTTCGGTAAAAAACAAAACTGTCTGAACCAACATGTCTGTTCGGTGAAAAACAAAACTGTTTGAACCACACTTCTCATTTACCTTCTATGGGATTTGGATACCAAAATCCCAACACTATATTCGTGAGAAGCAGGTCCCTGTTTTTGTGCGTGGCACAAATGTCTACATCTCAGAGAAGTGGAAGTTTGAATAAGTACTTCAAAGCTGCTTGGGGAACTTGATGCCCTGGAACTCGAGAATGACAGGATCAATCGACTCGAAGGTACAAATCCAATTTCCACCATGTGCAGTTACCAAAGGACGTCCTCGATTATACGGTTCAAAGGAAGCTTAGAGAAGACTCAGGTGACTCGTTCTGCTTGTAAGACACGGTCATTCAAAGACCACCTGTCCAATATGGTCGAGGTAGGCAAGTTGAACATCATTAACGTGGGGGTCTATTGATGTAGACCTTCTATTTTCTGTGAGAAGGTTGAACAAAGAGAATTCATTCTAATCTGTCTATTTATCTGTACCAAGTGGCAGGTGTGGTTCTGGCTCGAAAGCTGCTCATATCGGTAGTTCATTTGAGCATCCGGCTATTACGTCCACGGTACTTACAAAACCGTCTTGTGTTAATTATATATTTGATGTATAATTACTTCATTTTTTGGGAGGCGATATTGTCCGACATGATATAAATCGACGTAGGAATCGGTGTTTGGGAAAGAGGACAAGCTCGAGGAAATGTAGCTCGTGATTGTGAACCTCCTGGACTTGTGGTACGTGACACACTAGCTTTTGTGCATTGTCTGTTCACATCGATTTCAATGCTCTGTTCTAATTAGTTTTCTTCTGCTTGTTCTTTTTCCCATTACCACATCTCTTGCTCATTGAAGTTATGACATTGTCTATTGCTTGCTGCTTCATAAGGTCGAGCCATGGGGGAGGCCCTCAGTTATTCCAATGAAGAAGAGAATCTCTTGAACAATTTAGACATGTCGCATTTTTAGCAGATGACAGATGTGGTTTCGATGAGAAGGAAAGGTTGTGGCATTTTTTTTATTTGAAGTTTTTCGTGGCATTCATGGTCGACAGTGATGATATTGCTCGCTTTTCATTTATGCCATTTGATTTTCGTGAATTCGTATATACCAGTGTTTCATCACGTGTAATAATTTTTCGAACCAAGTTCTCCTTGTACGAAGCATAAGACTTAAAAATTGCAAGTTGGCGACCAATACGATACCCTTAATTCATATTAGATCAATCAATAATATTATTCATTGCGGAGCTTGTGATAAAGTAGGAGCACTGAGCTTAGGATTGGTCTACTACCAAGACCATTTGCTCATAAGGCTCATTTGAGAAAACGGCCCCACTCAGGCATTTATTTGAAATTTTCTTCTTTTCCATTAAATGATTAAAACCAATGAAATCACTTCTAGATATCTAAGCAGAAAAATAAAGTTTCGATATATATACAAGGAAAAATTCTAAATAATTACCTGAAATGCTCTTATTTTCTCAAATAAGGGCTTGAAATGGATTTTGTCTCAAATAAGGACTTGAAGTGCCCTTATTTTCTCAAAAAAGGGTATAAAGTGGCTATATTAGTCTCAAAGAAGGGCTTAACCTTGCTGGTTGAAGGGCATTTTTGTCCTTTACTTTTTTTGAATTTCTTTCTTTCTTTTTTCCTTTTTCTGTTTTTTCTTTTCCTTTTCTTTTTCTTTTTTCTTTTCCCTCTCCCTTCGTCGGACACTGGACTCAGGTGAGAGCCGTCCTCACCTGCCCAACCCAGGTGAGGGCGGCCTTCACTCAACCTCGGCGAGGGCAACCCTCACCCTCGCTTGGGCTGGCGAGGGCAACGAGAGTCGGATCTAGGGAGGAATGCCCTCGCTTGGGTTGGCGAGGCCAGGCAAGGCCGAAGGTCCCCCGCCCAGGCAAGGGCAACCCTCACACAACGCAGGCAATGGCCGAGGGAGGGAAGAGGGAACAAAAAAGGAAAAAGAAAAGAAAAAGAAAAAAAAATTAAAAAATATATACTTTAAATTTTTTGACTAAAATACCCATTCTCCGAATTTGAGAAGACTTGGTCACTTCAGGCTCTTATTTGAAACGATTTGGCTACTTTAGGCCCTTTATTTGAAATAATGTCCACTTCATATCCTTATTTGAGAAAACGATGACACTTCAAGTCATTATTTGTAATTTTTCCTAAGTACAATAATCTACAATATATTTTTTTTTGTTTATTCCTTGAGTTCAAGATTTGCAGGAGAAGGTGAGCCATTTGACATTGGGAACCTCCGTAATTGGTGCTTTGGAATCTTGGATGAAGGTTGATTTTTTTTTTATTATCAAGGAAAGATATTGACAGAAAAGGAAAAAAAATGGAGAAAATAGGCACACCGCATTGGATCCAGACAACGTTAATCCCTCGACACGTGGTGAAGCCCGGTGCGTTAATTATCGATTATTATTGACATGTAAAAGCGTTCGATTATAAAATTAAATCAAATACGCATGTCATTCGTCTAACCGTAAATATGTGATTTCTTTCGTTACACAATGGTGCACCTAACAATAATCATTCATCCAGCATTCAACTTTCGGTTACCATCACAAGTTTGGCGTCAATTTTTAATGACAAACATCCTCGAATTTTTCCTTATTAACCACTTTGTCCCTCCTCCCGCTCGCCAATTACCTTCCCCAATCCATTCCCATAGAAATAGAGAGAGATGCAACTGTGAATGGTCGATTTCCAAGATTCGTCCCACTGAAAAAAAAAAAAACCAACAAACCTAAGAACAAGCCTTACAATAAGAACGATCCCAATCATTAATGTCCAGTTATTGGGGCCATCACTCTCTTCGACTTCGTTCATCGCAGATAAGTGGTCGCGTCAGGTGATGGCTGAAGTCGAAGTGGATGATGCACCTGAGAAGATAGAGTAAAAGAGAAGGGGAGTTAGTCGACGGATGGAGTAAGTTTTTCTTGAGTAAATGACACAGATGATCCTTAAACTTTGATCCAATATGTAATGTGGTCCTTGGATTTTAAATTTATTCAATGTGATCCATTAATTTTAGCTCAATATGCAATATAAACCCTGAACTTTTAACATGTTCAATGTGATTCATGAACTTTGATACATGTTCAATTTTGTAATGTTCGATGTTGTCCATAAACTTAAATTAAAAGAATGACAACATTGAATATTTTCATAAAGTCTATGAATTATATTGACCATCTACCAAAAGTCCATGGACTATACTTAACAAATTTAAAGTCCATGAACAACATTGCACATTGGACTAAACATCAAAAATCATTTGTGTCATTGTTCCGTTTTTCTTGGTGTTCCTTTTCCGTTTCCTCAATGCCTTTTAATTTCTACTTTAAGAATTTGTATACGTTTGATGAGATCAAACAATGTCCACCGGTTGGACACTCTGCATCTTCCACGTGCAAGACATACTATTGTTCTTCTTTCTTCATTCTTGAGTATACATTTCGAGTTACTTCGTGAATATCTGGTTTCTTGTTAATTAGACAATGCGGTAAAAATAAAAATTTATTACAGTACAAAAATGGATGCATCAGTTTTAAAATATCTTCCATTCACTCCGTTCATCCCCCCATCTCTCTCATCTATGCCGTTTTGACAATTTCTGGCGAGCTTCCTCGTTGCGGCAGGAGCCCGGCGAACCGGCGCTCCGACTCCCCGCTCCTCCCGGCGGCGGCGAAAGCTGCTCCGGCGGCAGATTCGCGCTTGCCCGGCGTCGTCTCCGGCGGCGGCGGCGAGGAGAGACTAGGGAAGCGATGCAGGAGGGAGAAGGAAAGGGGCTTTTCATCGTTCTTGATTTTGTGGGAAGTCTGAGGCTGAGTTTGAAAGATGGAGCGGGAATGCGAAGATTTTGCGGGGATCTTGCCGGAGGAGGGAATGGGGGTTGAGGAGTCGGAGTGCCGGTTCGCTGGAGGTCATATCCCTAACGGGGAAGCTCGCCGGAAGTGGCCAAGACGGTATCTTGGTTTGGGCAGGGTAGTAGTCTTTCTTGATTTTGCCTTTCTCTTTAGTAGTTTTCTCTCGAATGCGATTAGGCTCAGTGACTTGTGATTGGGTTTTTGGTGCTGATTTGTTAACCCATTTCTATCAATATGGTTTTCTTTGTGCCCTCGTTTCTGAAAGCGTTGAAGGAAGAGACAGAGGAGAGTTTTAGAAGTATACATACTGAACCCACTCCGGGTATTTATGTATTTGTGATTCTTCAGACACGGGCCTGTGAAATGTTATAGTTTCACTTTTCTCGCCATTATGCGGCACTCTGCTTTCTGCTTGAGTTTTAGTAGTTGTCTTGTCCTATCAGGTTCTGATTGCTTAGGTAGAGAACTTTGAAAGATGGGTCAATGACACAAATTTCAGGATCATGCGAACAAATACAATTAATTAATATGGAGTTGTCATTGATGACTTTGGTTTGGAGACCATGCCTGCCAGAACGATGGATGACTTTGTTCGTTGCATAGCTAGGGGTAACATGATCTAACTATTTATTCTGTGATATATAGAGGGAGGATGTGCATGATGTATTCTAGACCTGAAAACTTTAGTTCTTTTTTGCAGTTTTGTATTCAGAAGTTGGCAGGTTCACCCTGGATTCTCGTCATGGTTTTGTTGTTGAATATGGAATGGATAGGGATTTTGAAGCTGGCGGGTCATTCATTTTATTTGATCATTATCCATTGTATTGTACTATCGACTTGGAGTTCTAAATAGTATGTAGCTGAAAAAATTATCTTTAAATCATGTGGTTATCTTTTGCATAGCAAGAAGTCAAGACTACTGAACTTGCTGGTGAAACTCCCACTCCATATGCTTGCCTGATCATAGCTTCTCAAGACTGATCGGCTTTGCGGAATATTTGATCAATCTTTTCTGAATTTTTATTTAATCCTGGTTTACAAACCAAATGAAGCCGGCTACTTTCTGTAAAATACTTTGTTGTTGATTCCATGTGCAAAATTGATCTTGCTGTGATGGTAAGATCTTATTGTCAGCCTTACCTCTATTCTCTCTTTTAATTAGGTTTCTTGTATTTTCCGATTTTGCATCATGGTAATTTCGCCTTATTCTGTTTGCCTCTACTGGTTTTTCATTTCCCACCTTTTCCTTTGAAATTGAAGCTGTGGATTCTTCTTTCTAACTCGTAAGGGAGTGGAACAACTCTGTTTTCTTAGGCTTCCATGTTGATGATTGTGAAGTCACTTTAAATGTTTGTTTGGGTGAGCAATTCTCGGTGTAGAATAATTCTTTCGTGGTGTTTGATTTGATAAGTATATAATCTCAGAGACACAGCCAGAGGTATGCCAACCCGCTATTTTGTTCTTTTGTTGCTATGTTGTTTAATATGAAGTGATGAACTGTACGTTTCTGTTTCGCTGATCTTCTTAGAAATCTATTTTTAAGTGCTCATTGACTTCACTATAGTTAAATGCTGTTATGCAGGAATTTACGTGAAATTAATGAATACGATATTCTTTCTTGGAAATACTGGCATTAATCTATAAATGATCTCGCTTTACCAAAAAAAAAAAAAAATCTATAAATGATCTCCAAGCAAGGCATTGACGCCATTTTTTACAGTGGTCATCATTTACACTATAATGTGGCCACCATGAATGAGAATTTTTCAGAAAGTTGATGCAATCCCTTTTAGAGTTGCAAGCCAGTCAAACGACATCTTTACTTACTTGAGCCTAACTCAAGTGTATGGAGCTGGAGCAGCAATCCAGATGGAGTTCGAAATTTAGACAATGGATTCAAACGTTTCGCAAGACTTATAGCATGTTTAGTTCCTTTTCTTTTTTCTTTTTTTTTTGTGTGCACAGCAAGGGTTAATTTATTTTAGTTTGTTCTGGATATCTGAGTGAGTTGTTTAAAATCAAGTGTTGGCTCAATCTTGAGTTCGACAGACCTAATTCTGAGTACTTATCATATGGAGTCTCTCTCAAGTATGTCAATTACCAAATATCTTTATGTGGAACTCAAACATATGGACAAGCAACCTCCCATCCCCTTCCTCTGGTGCCTGACATGCCGCCTCCAATCCGGTCGCGCTCAAGAATGGTGGGGATCACCCCTGTTCTGGGGTCAACAACCTGGTGGTGCTGGTTTTCGGAGTTCATTGTTCCGCCGGTGATGACGACAACTCCTCCACCGGGGAGAGGAAGCTCTTCGCTGCCCCTTCCGCCTCTGTCAACAACGGCCCCATACCAGTCCAATGAGAGTCCGGGTTCCAGGATCGGTTTCTGTCTTTTGCTTCTTCTTGATTGCGCTTTGTTGTTGTTTTTTTTTTTTTCCTCTTTTTCATATTTGGAATGTTTAAACATCAGAAGCTTATGTGGATAATGCATTGCCTCAAGGAGGTGGGAAAATGTTGGGATCTTCTGATCAGCGAAGACAGCGAGGACGAAAAAGACAACATAAAGACACGTGATGGGTGTGCTTTCTTGCATGCGTGGTTTCCTGGTGATAATTTTGCCATGTTGGCTAACCTTGAGGGGCATAAAAAGGTACTATCTACAGATTGGTTGTTGCTTTTGCGTGCTCTCTTATATCCTGCTGGAGAAAATTTTATCATACCCCAATTTGTTTCCGTCCTATGCTAATTAAAGATGTCGAAATATTATTGCCTCTCTGGCATAAAAGTTGATCTAGACTCACCCAATGCTTTTTATGGCAGGGTGTCTCTGGAATAGCACTTCCTTCTGGATCTACTAAGCTCTTCTCAGGAAGCAATGATGGAACAGTACGAATCTGGGACTGTCACACTGGTCGGTGTGTTCGAGCGATCAACCTGGGAGGAGAAGTTGGATGTTTTACTTGCAAAGTTCCATGGGTGTTTGTTGGCATGCCTAATACTGTTAAGGTGAGCAGTTTGCTGGGTCTCTTCCGTCCCTTTGTTATAATCTTCTTTGGCATTTACTGAGCTTTAATTTGTTGCTTTCTCTTGTATCTTTTGTAGGCATGGAATATCCAGAATGGTGCTAGCTACGATCTCAGTGGACCAGGACAGGTCCTCACTATGGAAGTTGCTAATAACATGCTTTTTGCCGGAGTCCAGGTAATTTATTATTAGAAAGAATTTAATGTCGAATTAGGTCACTTAGCTGCTGGAATTTTGTCTAGTCTGTTTCTTTAGAATCTCGTTCCTCCGTGAATTAGCAGCATAAGTGCGATAAAAGTTGATTCTGAGTGTGAGGGTGGATTTTTGGTTTAGAGCTGATATTCTTCTTCTTCTTCTTCTTCAAGTGAGTGTGGAACAACCTAAGTCAACGTTCATATGATCACTGACTGCCTCTTTCTGTATACTTCTGCTGAATTTTATTGGCTTTCGATGACTTAAACGCAACAAACTATGCTTCCAGGATGGTGCTATCTTGGTATGGAAAGGAGGTACGGAGGCTGATCCTTTTCAGATGGCTGCACCTCTCAAAGGTCACACTTGGGGGGTGGTATCATTAACTGTTGGGCGCGACCGGTTGTATTCAGGTTCCATTGACCGGACCATAAGGGTAAGCTAGTTTATCAGAGATGTCTCTCCCCCTGATTTCATCTAGTTGTGTGTTTTCTGGAAAGGCATGGCTTGGCCATTGTAGTATAAGTTTTATTTTGAATCACTTCTATCGGTTTGCCATGCCTTCTTTCTTTATTGTTCTGCCTTGCTCCACTGTACAATCGTTATGACCCCTCGCATACTCCTCCTTGTGCCCCTTGCAGGCTTGGGACTTGCACACTCTGGAGTGTGTTTGAGAACTTGTTGGAGATACTGATGCGGTGATGTCACTTCTTTGCTGGACCTGTACTTGATATCATCTTCATTGGATCAGACAGTTAAGATCTGGGTTGCAACCGAAGGAGGCGGCTTGGAAGTTGCCTATACACATCAGAGGACCACGTATGTTGCTTGCTAAATTGTTTTTTTTTTGGTGCTCGTGTTTTGTTTTATTGACTTCATATAAGTGAAGCGTGTGAACACATGAACCTGTTGTTACAGTTCTAGACCGCGGTGAGCAAAATTTTCTCTGCTTTTCGATTTAATATCTGCAGCTAAAGAATAACAATCTGAATAATGTGGAATGAAGCTTTGTAGTTTGGCCATATTGTCATGTTCCTTTCATGTGCTTGCTCTATGTGAGAAGAAATGAATTTTCTGACCCCATCTTCTTCCACCTGGCAATGCTTTGTCAGTTTCTTACTGCGCTCCTAGTCTCACGGAAGTGATGTAATATCCAATATCATTTTGTCTGGCGCAGGGTATTCTTGCAGTGTCAAGTGTGAATGATGCACAGGGTAAGCCGATCCTTCTCTGTGCGTGCAAGGACAACTTTGTTCGCTTGTGCAAGCTCCCATCGTAAGTTCAAATTAATTTCTGTAATAGGTTTTACATCCTTTTATCTCTTCTTCTGGTTGGCGTACTTAGTGCATCGTATTTAGGTTCACCGAAAAGGGGAAGATATTCTCAAGAGGACAAGTTAGGACTCCTCAGACAGCTCCTGAAGGCCTCTTCTTTATGGGAGATGCTGACTGTTTGGAACTCATTGGATTTGAACTACTGAAAATAAATGATGAAGATATGGCACTACTTTCTAATTGTCTTTTGAGCCAATAGAGTGTGCATGTTATAGTCAACCATATTGGACAGGTGGTCTTTGTATGATCCTTTGTCTTACTAGCGAACAAGTCTTCGGAGTCTTCTCTAAGCTTCCTCTGAGCTGTAGAATCAAGGCCGTCCTTTGTTAACTGCACATGGTGAAAATGGGATCGAGTCCACCAAGCAGCTTTTTGATACCATGTACTGCATGCAAAAAGGGCTTCTGTGAACATGTAACTTTGTCCGGTAATCCTAGCGAATTTATCATCGCACTAGTGAATCTTAATGTCGCTGACTCTCGAGCGTTGTCATGAACAGCACCCAGGTTAATTTCTTCATGGTCATTCATCTCCTTAGCAACTCTTGTTCACCTGCTCAAAATTAGTGTGATAGGAGTGAAAGAATCCTCTAGTCGAATTCAAGTTTTTGGCTAGGTACAAAATGGGTTTGGAAGTCGTCATGGTCTTGAAATTTTTTAAGAGCATTCGCAAGCTGAATAACTAATAGCTTACTGGTGTGCTGGCATTGGCATAATGTGAGAAGTACTTATTCAAACTTTCACTTCTCTGAGTTGTAGACATTTGGCCAAACAGAGTGCCGCGCACAAAAGCAGGAACCTACTTCTCAGGAATGAAATTGATCTTCTTCAATCAATCATTGTCACGGGTATGATGCTTATCAAGGATCCTCTCACGCTCATCTTCAAAACCTTTCCCGTGTAGTTGAATGATGTGTGCAGTTGTTATCGGTCAAAATCATCATTTTGATTGAAAATGATGAGTAACATCAGCAAATGGAACGAATGGTATACTGTACTTATTTTTCAAATATGTACGATAAAGCACCATCACTTCACTGCGATATTCTTGAGCATTCATCAATCCGGAAACAACTTGTAGAACGACCTTCAACATCAGCCTGTATAGCATAGAAAAATTACTATATGTGAGGTTCATGAAAATCAATAGCATAATATCATCACCGTCGACCCTTGAATGTCACAACCCCTCGCCCATGGTGTGACTTCGCCGTGAAGCAGCAAGCGTCAAATCTTGAATTAAATCTTAGAAATGGGGCAAAAAAAGCAACAGATTATAACCTCAATGAGCAAGCGATGTGGCCATAGGTAAAAGAACAAGCAGAAGAAAAC